CACTCCCTTCTCCATTCTCCTCTTGGGATTTTGTGTGCACACACACACACACACACACACACACACACACACACCTACCTTCCTAGCCCGTTTTAAGTTGCTGGGTCTGGGACTCAAACTGCAGTCGACTATGTGGGAGTCTAGCAATGTAACCATTATGCCATCTGCTGGTCCTGCGGACGGGGCTTTCTAATGAGCAGCAGCACCTGTTCCCTCCTCCCCCCTGCTCTGGGAGGGGTGCAGGGTCATGACCTCTGACCCTTCCCAGAAGGGCTGTCTGGAGTGTGGGAGGCATGGGTGCCGGTGCCTGGAATCGGGCAGGAACCTGGACTTCTGCCCCCAGGGCCATGTATCTCGGGTCCTTCAGCTGCCTGTGCGGACTGCAGACCAGTCTCCTGCCTGGCCCATTTCCCCACCTGTGCCACGTGCCCACCACAGCGCCAGCTTAGCCCGGGCGGGCCTGGGGGCGGGGCGGAACGACTGCAGCTAAAAGGCTGGCCGTTGGCCGCCATCCAGACCCTGTCACCTAGACCCTGTCCAATAGCGCACCTGGGAGGAGCCCTGGCACACCTGTCTGAACAGGACAGCAATGACAGCCCAGGTGTCCCTCCGCCCGAGCGCACCCTCCTTGGCCCACGGACGACCCCGTGGGTCCCTTTTTCCCCCCTGCAGGACACAGGCCTACTTGAGGGCTGCTGGGCCAGATGGCACCTCCCCAGCCTGGCTGAGGGGGAGCGGCAAGCGCAGGGGCTCGGCCACCAGACCCGCAGGCTGCAGCCCTGTCTGCTGGCGCCCGGCCAAGACTGCACAGGCCCCTGGGAACTGGGTCAGCACAGGGCCAGGACAGCACGGAGGGGCGGGCAGCCCCCAGCCCAGGAAAGGGGCGGGCAGCCCAGTGGGCACCTCAAGGCCCCGGCCAGCAGCAGTCAGGGTCCGACGCCAAAGGGCAGTTGTATCCATGGAGCTGCTTTCTCTGTGATGGCAGAGAAGAACCAGAGGACAAAGGGACAGGGAGGGCAGTGGGGGGAGGACAGTGAGCCCCATCCTGCAGGGAGTACAGGCTCCGCGCTGAGACACGCCATTAGCTCCCAACCTTTCATCTCAGACTACCTGGGGACCCAGGTCGCAGGTCGGGGCCCTGCAGCCATGCTCGGGAAGGCTCCAGGCCCTACTGAACCTCAGAAACCCTCGGGACTCAGGAAGGGGGTCTTCCCACCCGCCCCCTCCAGAGGATTATGTTCTCAGCTGAGCCAGCAGCCACCGGCTAATCCAGCTTCCTCCTGCCCGCCCCGTGGCCTCAGGCTGCACCAGCCACCCACAGAGCCCTGGGGCAAAACCCTGGGCAGACCTGTCACACGAGGATGTCCCGAGGGGAGTACTGCTGGTGCTCCTGGGCCTGGACCCAGGGAGGGACAGGAAGTGCCCTCCGAGCGACTCCAGGGAAAAGCACGGGCCAGGCCCTGTACTAGGGAGGGGAGCAGCCGAGGTCCTGAGGTGGGGTCCCCACAGATACGGCCGGCCTGGTGGCCTCTGCAGGCCGGGGATTCTGGTGACCATTCCCCTGTCCTCCTGAAGCCAGGCACAGGGCAGGCCCAGGCTCCTCTGGCAGAACCCACCCTGCTCCAGACAGGCATGGGGTCTCCGAAGCCAACATGGACCCCAAGCACTGGGGGCTTGCCCAGGCACCAACCGAGGTGGTGCGTCACTCCAGCCAGGGGAGTCGGTGGACATGGAGGCCAAGCCAGCGGCTGCTCATGCAGATCTGTCCCTGGGATTCGGGAGTCCTGGGGTGCTCTGGGGTCTTTGCCCTGGTGGGGCCTGACCTGGGACGCCAGCTGCGGTCTAAGGCTGTCCCCCATCTCCGGGGTCCCAGTGCTCACCCACATTTTGTCCCACAGGGGAGCTGGGGCAGGCCTACGCCCCACCCCAGGTTTATTGAGTGCTTCCACGTGGTGCAGCCCCTCTGGGGGGTGGGCTTTTTTTTTTTTTTTTTTTTGAGAGGTTTTGCTATAGGGCGTGTGTGCTCGCCAGAAAGACAGAGAGAGACAGAGATAGAAAGCAAGAAATCACTCCCAGGGGGATGGCCACGCCGTAATCCCCTCTCCTCCATTCTCCTCTCAGCACTTCCCCGGCACCTGCCCATCTCCCCAGCTTGGGCATGGATGCACACACACCCGGCATGAGTTTAAGCTACCAGGTCCAGGACTTGAACCACGGTCGGCTACGTGGGAGTCCAGCAACATAGCCATTACACCAACTGCTGGTTGCAGGATGTGGTTTTAACGAGGGTGGGCTGTGAGGGGTGCACGGGCTCAGGGGTCCTGCCCTAGGTGGAGGCGAAGGTACAGTTCCTGGACATGCAGCAGGGCCACGGCTCCTCCTGCATGGCCAGCCACGGGCTACGGGCTACAGCAGCCCACGCAGCCCCAGGTGTGTGGGGGTCCTCTGGAGGCTCCAGAAGTTAGTACAGAAACGCGGAGACCACCAGGTTCCTAGTGTTGAGACGGGGCTGGTGCCTTCCTAACTCGACTTCTGGTTTAAGCAACCAGCACAGATGGGGACAGGGTCCTACACACAGGGGACACGACCACCGGGCGTGTTGGCTGAGCGTGCTCCCTCCCCAACGCCAGTGGGGGGAGAGGCTGAGCCGACAGGACCAGTGTCCTTGTTAGATTTTTGCTGCCGGGCGCATGTGCTCGCCAATCACCCCCTCGGGGTGGCCACACCTAAGCCCTTCTCCACTCTCCTCTTAGGATTTTGCGCACATGTGCCCAACGTGAGTTTAAGTTTTAAGGTTTGAGCACAGTTCCAGGGCTCAAACCACGGCCTACTACGTGGGAGACCAGCGACGTAGCCACTACGCCATCTACTGGTCCCACGACCGGTGTCGCTGTCCTCGGAGCACCCCGAGACCTTGTGCTGGGGGCGACCTGCCACACCCCAAGCTCAGTCAGACCACTGATGTCACTGTGCCCTCACAGTCCTCCAAGGGCTGCCAGTATTCCCTGGTCTTGCAGGAGCTCTGAACTCCGCCCCACAGCTCCTGTGCCACCAGGGAGTGGCACTTCCCCCGCACCTGCCCATCTCCCCAGCTGGGGCCACGCACCTGCCGGCTCTCGCTCCTCCAGACGCCATTGACGGTCTTGGTCGGGGCGATGGTCACCACGGGGGGTGTGCTGGGGACGCTGTGGCCCCCAGGGGGCACGATGATGGGGCCCATGGGCACTCGCTTGGGCGTGCTGGCGGGGGAGCTGTGGTTGGTGGCCGGAGAAGACACGGGGGACGACTCGCTGCTCAGTGAGGACCCTGCAGGAGAGAGGCCGTGTGTGAACGTGAGCCGGCACGAGGCCCAGGAAAGGGGCGGGAGCACAAGACCCATCCTGGCCGGCCAGCCTCGCCCTCCCCAGATGCCTCCAGGCTGCCTAGGTCACGCAGGGTAGGCTGGCGCAACACACGCTGCTGCCTGGCGCTGCCCACCCCACCACGAGGGCACGACGCCCTGCAGGTCAGGAGGCAGGCACCTGACTGGGCCCCCAGTCAGAGCTGACTCTGGAAGCACACGGGAACAGAGGCACGCGTGGTCCTAGGAGCCATGGCCATGAGCCAGGGCCTGTGCAGACACCCCAGGAACCCCAGGTTGGGCACGGGCTGCACAGGGCCACCTCTGTGCCCTGTCACTCTGAAAGTCAACCCATCAGTGGGCAGTATCCCCAGACTTCTAAGAAGGGCTAGAACATTCCATAAACCCATGGGGACTGTGGGGCCCAGGAGCAACAGGGATAGCCCGGCCCTGGGGCTCCAGGGGAACGAGGGGGACCGGAGTGTGAGTGGTCAATGCTACCAGGCAGGGACCCTCCAAGCCAAACAATTCCCCAGGGAAGCCTTAAAAAACCATCAAACACATTACTTTTGTATTTCAAAAGCCTGAAACACACTTGATGTTTGAAAGTGTGCAAGTCGGCGGATTCCGTGTGCTCGCTGCACTGCACACCACCACTGCCACCTCTCAACATTTCCAGAACGTTCCGCCACCCCAGGGAGAAGCACCACTGTGTCCCCAGAGGGGAGCAGGCTGGGCTGCTGGAGGGGCAGTTTACTTCTAGGTTCCAGTCACAGCCACAAGGGCCCACAGAGGGCCAGGTAGCAGCTGCCCGAGGTCCCAAGGACTGCCAGCTGCTCAGAGTGCGCCTGCCACCTCCCCTAGCATGCCCTCCAGACTGCCTCTTGCGCTCTGTGCTCTTCCTCCTGGGTGGGAGACACCCAGGCGAGGCCCACCCCCTGGGGCTATAACGGCTGCAAGTCAGCAGCACTGTCTAAAACTGCCCCAGAGCGTCCAGGGAGAACTGTGCACCCAGCCCCACTGGGCATCCTGACTGGGGCACCCCAGGGCGCGCTGGCATGGGCAGCTGTACCTGGAGCCGAGGAGGCAGCAGGAGGAACACATGGGGGGCTGCCACCTGCCCCGGCCAGGCTGTGGAGCAGACCACCTGCCTCCACTGATGTGGGCGCCTGGACAGGACGGGGGGCGGGCACCCTGTGCCAGTGCCCGCCAGACCCCAGGGAACCCTGCGTGCCCCCCAGCAGTGGCTCCGCCCCCGGCCGTGGCTGTGGCAGTACTCCAGGTCTGCCTGTGCCTCGGGTCTCAATCAGCCTCTCACAGTGGGGGGAGTGTGAGGAGGCCCGGCAGAGGAGCCCTGACAATTAGCACCTGATCCCCTCAGAGGCGGGAGGCTGCCCCTCACTGGCATGAGC